TAACCTGAATATATAGAAGAACTCAAACAATGTACATAAGGATTAGTCAAACGACTACAGATAATCATACCCTAAACAATTAAGGCACCATCATCATGGGAGGCAACATTTAGCTTTCCCTCAATAGCCATCTTGGCTAAGTCCACACACTCTTTCCCTCAATGGTTACATGAGTCAGTTCATCAATTTTTAGACAAAAAAACATGAGTCGGTTCAGCAATTGTTAGACCGAAAAATGTATATTTCATATTGCTAAATATTATACTTTTATTCACGATGTTCGGTGTAGTATAATGTATTTTACTTTTATTTATAACACCTCTTGTAAATTGTAATACGATCTTTTAGAGCAAAAGCGTGTCTGTACATTGAAAAGGTATATACGCATTACTTTTTGTGGATTATTAATAAATATGTCTATACTTGGTTTTTTTTTTCTAGGTGAGGAAAAGTATTTGGAAAACCTAAAACCAGTATTTGGTTTGAATTCTTAAACAAACTGAAATTCAATTCAACTTTTATGACTTAAAACCTAAATTCACACAGGAGCGTAGATCTTACAACTACTAGACGAAAGTAAAAATTCATTATAATTTGTCAAAAGAAAAAGTCCACATCGCAGTTATTACCAAAATTCGAAAACACGCTTCAGATATACTTTGAATTTTGAAACATACTAATTGNAAAAAAGGGCAAAAATAAAAAGCCCACAAAAAGTGGACGGGTTGAAGCCTAATAGGTTCAGTTACAATAATTTCTGTACATTTTTTAGAAAAACAAAACGAATAAAAACCCTCATACAAAAATTTTGTGTATTCAAAATGCCTATAAAATAATGTTTCGCGATAATATAACATAATGATTGACATAATACATACATGGCATGATTATGTCAATTTACACCTCACATTAATAAAAATATATAATTTTAATTTTTATGCTATTAAATATCATATATATTTATGTATTTTTATGAAGTACATACTTTTAAAAGAATAATAAACCTTTTCTTTTTCCTTTTTTTTTTCTTCTTTTATTTGTACATTTTCGTGTCTGAATTTAATAATCATTGTATTTTATTTGATCAATGAAGAAAGCTGATTGAGGGCCCTTCTTCATTTATCACTCAGTCCAAACAGTCATTTCTGTCTTTCAATACATACGGCAGATGATTTCCCTATTTTCATAGTGTGAGAAGTTACATTTTTACTTCTCATTGTCTTCATATGAGTAATTTTTTTAACCTGAATTCAGAACACAAAAGCACAATAATTTGAGCAACAACCTCTGCAAAGTCACCAGTTGTGCGGGACCTATTTAATTTCATCTGTCCATTTATTGAAATAAAAGCCCCACATAAGTGGATGGGTTGAATAACGCGTGTTAAAGTTTTCATTTACAAACAACTTCTATATATAATTTAAAATTTATCAAACTTTAGTTAATACTATTCATTTCTTAACGAAAATGTACAGTTATGTTATGAAATATCAAACTTTAGTTAATACTAATATTTTTTAAATTATGATATTTTAATTTAAAAGTTTGCATTGAAAAGTATATATGACAACTGTAAGATGTGCCTAACAACAGTTTTACCGTTTTAATATCATCATCATTTTGCCTCCATTTTAGACCATTTCATTTTTCTGTGTGATGGTAAAAGATATCACTTGACATGTAATTTAGAGTTCGGATTCAAAATCAGAAAAATTGACTAACACAGAAAAGGACACAGTTGAAAATATTATTTATTTATTTATTTCTTGAGTAATTGCTACAGCTCGAACTTTGGAGTTTTTTTTGTATGTTTATCTTCCGCAATATTAAATTGATTTTTCTCAAAAGATTGATATGATTTAATTAACGAAGTTGGAAATTTAATTTGGCAACAGAAAATTCACAAATGGGGTTCTTCAGTGTACTGTGGGATTGCACTTTTTATTATATTATTTATCTTGTGACTGGGTTGAGTCGAGCCATAATGGTTGCTTGTTTCAAACGAACAAATCATCTCAAAACTCAGGCCACCACTTGATGATGAATACTCTTATTATCTTTTATATTTTATTTCTTTTTTTTTTTGGACATTCATCGCAAAACATGTAAAGATGAGTTTTGAATTATTGATGATCATTCAAAGAGTGTTCATCGACAAAATTCTAACCATATATAACTTGCGCGTATAGCCTCGGAATCACTTAATTTATTGCTCTACGCGCATTGATTTCAATCAAAACAATCAAAATCATACTCCAAAAGCATATTATAAAACAATTTTAAATCCAAACATAAAAATTAAATTGGAGTTCTGAACACCATTCAAATAATTTCAAATAGCTCAAAACTCACTTCAAAACGTTCCGCATCACATGTGACACGCCAACAAATTTTTAACAAAAAAACATGATAATTATTCAAAATATGGCTGGTGTGTAGTAATGTTATTTGATTTTTTTTCTTATCTGTCGACAAATACTCAAATTATTCCCTAATAGGCTAATCTAACGTGTTGTCCTTGTCATATCATATAGTATTATTCTGCTGCAAAAAGTCTGTTGTAAAATACAGAATCTTAATTATTCTAAAACCAAGAGGCATTTAATATTTATTAACAGTTAATTTTTTCTACAAAAAGAGTCATCTAACCAGAAAAAAGTACCTAATTTAATTTTTCGCTTTTTAAGAACCATGCCCAGATATTATACAAAATAAAAAATTGGAAAAACCCAAGTGGCAGTTTTTCTGATAATAGGAAATATAAATATTTATGTGAGACAATCTAATAATTAAATATGTTCATATTTTTTTCAATAGAATTTCATACTTATTTTACAAAATATTCTATTTACATCATTTTTTTTAGAGTATGAACTTTTAGTTTAAAAAATATGAAAATTATCTAAAAAAATTTGTAACGTAACGGCAGCTTACTCAATAAATATTAAATTATTTTTCATTGAAATTCATCTCTGTCCTCCCACAAATCCACTTCATGGCTCCCCATTACATATTTTCATGCACCCCACAAACCTAAAGAAACTCCCCCCAAAGAAAAAAAATTAATATATTCATTAAACTAATAATAACTAATTACTATTATATTTGAATATTAAAAATATTGGTGGGAAATAAATTGAGCTCTCCCAATCCACCATTATTCATTCAAACAACAAATGACTCCCCCACCCACCACCGCCGCCGTCCTGCGGCCGATGCCACCGCCCACACGGCGGAGCCGCCTCCTTCCCTCCTTCCTCCTCGCCGCCCTCTTCCACTCCCTACTCTGCTCCTCCCAAATCCCCCTCGCCTCCGCCCAGGAGTCCCAAATCGATCTACCCAAAATCGAGGCGGCCGCCGCCGCCTTTGCCTTCGAGAACCCCAGTCTCCGGCAGGCCTACGTCGCCCTCCAGGCGTGGAAGCTCGCCATCTTCTCCGACCCGCTCAATTTCACCTCCAATTGGACCGGCCCCGACGTCTGCTCGTACGGCGGTGTCTTCTGCGCACCATCCCCCTCCAACGCCTCCGCCCGGGTAGTCGCCGGAATCGACCTCAACCACGGCGACATCGCCGGGTACCTCCCGGATGAGGTCGGCCTCCTCACTGACCTCGCCCTCCTCCACATTAACTCCAACAGGTTCTGCGGATTGGTCCCCAAAACCTTCGGAAAATTGAAACTCCTCTTCGAATTAGATCTGAGCAACAACCGATTTGTTGGGGGTTTCCCCAAAATCGTCCTCTCCATGCCGTCACTGAAATTCCTTGACCTGAGGTTCAACGATTTCGAAGGCGGCGTTCCCAGCGAGTTGTTCGACAAGAAACTCGACGCTCTCTTTCTGAACGACAACCGGTTCCGGTTCGGGATACCCGAGAATCTCGGGAACTCGCCGGTTTCGGTTTTAGTCCTGGCGAATAACAATCTCGGCGGGTGTATTCCGTCGAGCATCGGTAAGATGGGGAGAACTCTGAACGAGCTGATTCTGATGAACGACAATCTGACTGGCTGCCTGCCCGCATCGTTCGGGAAGCTTGACCAGCTGACCGTGCTCGATTTGAGCTCCAACGGGCTGCAGGGCCCGTTGCCGGTGGAAATCGGGCAGATGAGGAACCTGGAGCAGCTGAACGTGGCGCGGAACAAGCTGACTGGGGAGGTGACAGCTGGCGTGTGCGGGCTGCCCAGGCTGCAGAATTTCACGTATTCCTTCAATTATTTCACGGGGGAGGCCGCCCAGTGCGGAAGGTTCGGCGGGGTTAGCGGGCGGGAGAATTGTATCCCGAAAAAGGCGGATCAGAGGACGCCGGGCGAGTGCTCGTCGAGCGACGCCAAGCCATTTGACTGCCGGAAGTCAAAGTGCAGCGGAGGGTTCACGCCGGTCAATCCTTCTCATTCGCCACCGCCGCCTTCGACCAAGAGTTCTCCCACCGTTAGGTCACGTTCGCCGCCTCCACCGCCACCGAAAACCAAGTCTCCCCAGTCGCCTCCGCCACCACCTCCGCCTACACACGAAGTATCTCCCGGAAGTCGTCTTCCACCGCCTCCGACACCTTCACCTCCGCCGCCTCCAACGAAACATTACTACTCTCCGCCTCCGCCTCAATCCAAGTCTTCCCCTACGACACATCATAAATCCCCACCTCCTCCTTTGCCATCGTCCCCACCTCTTCCACAATCTCCACCTCCGCCTTACATTTATTCATCCCCACCACCTAAGACCCAACAATATCACTATTCTCCACCACCACCTCCCCACCACAAATCCTCCCCCACCACACATTACAAATCTCCTCCACCACCACCACCACCATATGTATACTCATCACCTCCTCCGCCCTACATCTACTCATCACCACAACCTCCTTCACCATCTCCACCACCACAGTCTGTCTACTCATCACCACCACCTCCTTCACCATCTCCACCGCCACCATATGTCTACTCATCACCGCCACCTCCTTCACCATACATACACTCATCACCGCCACC